AACCTGACGGAAAAGAGAAAGTGTGTGTGTGTGTAGACAGTGCGTAATTGATCTGCAGTCAGAGAGTATTATTGAGCACGTTCGTTGTTATAGCGTTTGTTTTAGCGCGACTGTTGAAGTTGAGTGTATCGGTAAAGTTATATTCGGAAAGAATAAACCAGTTTTATTAAGTAAGGACTTGTGACGCTAAAGTTTCGTCGGAACGAATTTACGGAAAATCAATTAACAAACGGAGACGTAACAGTACTGTTCTAAGGGGAATGTTTCGGCTGTTTCTTGTTAAACGGAAAGATACACAATGGGTTATCTGTGCTGTACCCATTGCAGGGATCGAACCCCAAAGTTAATCATCGAAACAAAATATTTTATACTATTCGTATTTTATGAGTCAACCAAAACTTCCTCTTTATCAAATTATATCCTATATATTGGCCAGTTTGCACCTTTAAGAAAATTGTATCAATGGTTTTGGTATCTAGTTTATCAGAAATAGTTTTTACAATAACATTTGTGAGAAGTATTTGAGAACAAGCAAGTTTTGTATACGGTTAGATGCAGTATCAGACATAACTGTTTGGTACGCTTTCCGTTTATTTGTATGGATATCAAAGCTTTTGAAAAAACCCAAAACAATCTGGCTTCATGAACCCTACCAAAAACGCTGACGTGGGTGGGGCTTCGCGGGCGTGTGTGTGTATATACCTTTTACCCGAGTGTGAACGGTAAGTCGTCTTTCTCTCCCTGCCAGTGCCAGTCTCTTTCTTAGTTAAGGAGAAGGGACTTGCGGAGGCAAAACGTACTATGTTGCAGGTGTAGTGGTGATGTTTTCAAGAAAACAGTTTTCTAAAATACACTCCAGAAGTAGTGCATCATTTAGGCATAGAAGTCTTTAGCACAAAGTCGTTACCCGATTTGATCTCGCTGGGCTGTGATTTGACTGGAAATAGTAGAATCAAACAGTGAGTGTTTGTTGTTGTTGTTGCTTTTCACATTGAAATTAAATTGCAGTAATTGATCTTTGCCATTACTTAAAATTTTCGGTGAGCGTTTATCTATTAAACGGTGAAATATTGATTATGATGTTGAAAATGAAATTGTTTACATTACAGTAGACGTGTAATCCATATTTTATGCATGAAAGCGTAACTGAGAATGTTTGGTTAGAAATTTATTTACGTATAAATTAATTGCAGCATATTTCTTGTTGTTTGGAAACGTATAGCTAGAACTGTCTACAGCATTGAAACACTATTCTAATGTATAATGGTCTGCATAGAAGAGCTGTGGAATGAGAGTTCCATTTCGTAACTTGACTACGTGCCACCGACGGGATGTATTTTCGGTAACGTAAGCACGTGAGATTGTATATACTGGCAGGCCCCATGGAGCTGATCGCTTGATCACAGCCAGACAGCCCCCTTTTTTTTTGAAAAGATAAACATTGCTTTAAGATGGATACCTTACCATAATTGTAATATGGTGTAGTATTTGAATCGTCGTACTCTCGTTAGGTTAAGCAGAAACAAGGGAGCCAGCTTTCTTTTCGACTCATGTATGTGTTTTTGTGGAAAGTGATTTAAACTAATGCTGAGATTCTGTGATAAACACCAAGCATAGTTCATGGCTTTTAGAAAGTGTTTGTAAATTTATTTATCTTTAATTGAACATTGTTTTCCCTCTCTGTTCATTAGCTGGAACTTTTAAGCATTTGTCCTAAAGCATAAGTCCTAATAAAACGTTTTTGTGTTTATTGATCAGTTTTTGAGCATCATTTTCTCTGATTAGTATAAAGCCACTAACTAGCTGCAGTTTTAATGTCTCTTAGAAGTAAAACAATCTTCTGATTATAATGGAACCCACTTTGTTGTCTGATCCTGTAGAACCAAAAATAGATTAATATGGTTGGAAGTTTAAATTGATTATGAGTGTTTTAAAGCAGTTACCATGAAGGGACTTTTTTATTTATTTTTTTGTATTTTTAGTATGAAGTAATATGAAGGTACTTACAATATGTGCTAGTAAATTCTGTTTTATTTATATTAATTAAAATGTCTTAATCAATTTCACTTTCAATTTGAAGAATGGAACTTTGAATGATAATGAAAAAAAAGAAAATGCTGAGAAGTTGAATATTTTGTGAATATGAAATTAACAGTAACTTATTAAAAACGTAAATATTTCTAAAAACTTAGGAAGAGATATTTATATAATATTGTAAAAACCTAAAGTACTGGATATTTAAACATGCAGTGACAAGATATCAGTGGTGTGCACATGTTTTAAGTATTTATTCAATACTTTTGTTGTAAAATATTTTCAAAATAAGTCATAATTTTAGTTGTTCTTCAGAAAATTGTGGTAAGATGATGATTTGCCATGTTTGTTGGGAAAAATAAATGTGTTAAATGGATAATTTTCTATATAAGTACCATGCTAGGAATCTTCAAAATAGTGTTGTCTCATGTTCAAGTCATTTTTATTAAAATGTAAAAAATCATATGATGAATTATGTTACATAACCTTTTTTTCTGCTTCCCAGTGAAACAGTGATAACTCTGCAAACTAATAACACTAGAAACCCGGTTTTGATACCTGTGGTGGGCACAGCACAGATAATCTGTTGTGTAGTTTTGTGCTTAATTACAAACAAAGAAGCATGTAAACTTACCACTTTGGGAATATCATAGTATAAAAAAATACTTCAATATGGAAATAATGTATTAAGAAATTTAAATGTAAGTTCTGTGAGGTGGAGAATTAGGTATTATATATTTTATGTAAAAACATTTGACAATAATTTAATATTCATTTTAAAGAAACTTTGGTATTTTATTGTTACTACCCAATCTGTGAGTCGGGTAGATATATTTGATGGGTTGATTCCTTAACAAAGCTTTCTGCCATACTTTTTCTTTAGATTCTGAATAATAATTTGAACTCCTTATGATATCTGGAATCTAAATTGACCACTAGCATAACTGAATTCACATTAGGTTATGGGAGAGTAAAATGTATATTCCAATTCAAAATCCCACATAAAACATGGTAGTGGCCACACATATTGGACATTACAAGATCTAGTTTCTCAGCTCTATAGAGCCATTTTATTTGTATTTTTTAACGAGTTCTGTCGATAGAGGTGGCCAAGGAAGGCCAAACAAAGCTCACTTGCTGAAGTAAGGTAGCTAGAAGCAGTACCTGCTTAAATGTGACCACTGATACTATTTTGTACAAGAGGAATACAGTCCAGCCATCACCATAAGTGTGGTCTTTTGAAGTGAATAGATTGAACCCTTTATTGGAGTACATTTTTTTTGTTGTAACTTGAATACCCAAAACTGTGACTCCCATATTTAGCCCAGCCAACCTTCCAAATTTATTACCATTGACTCACAGACTGGGTGTTAAAATTATTTAAAATTTATTTTTAATATTTTTTGGAAACATCATTAAAAAACGGAAGAGGAGTCAAATGATACTGTGAAAGAGCTCTTTCATTTTTGAGTTCAACTCTTCGAATATAAAGCTCATTTTAGAAGGATAAATTTAACTAAGAGAATATATCAAAAACAAAATGGATAATCATTTCTTCTACTTTTTAAGATTAAACTACATAATTTCTTTATTTTGAAATTATTTTTTTACTTCATTTTCTATTTTCAGTCATACTTGTTTATTAATAATTAATTTTTAGTTACAGACATTTTAATTTTGTGAACACTGTCCTTAAATGTATTAGATTTATGAGATTAGTTAGGTTATTGAAAAATGGCTTTTAATGCTACAAAATTGGTATGAAAAATAAGGGGAAAATAGAATAAAGAGAGAGTGTTAAAATTAAAACTTGTTTATTTCACATATACATTATGTACAGAGGTGCTGTCAAGGTGATGTTGGTGATGTGGGAATAAAGAAAGGTATGAAAGATAGAAGGATAGCTGTGTGTTGCTAGTAAGGTATGACATTATTAGTCAAATAACTGTATATTTTTCCCTCTGTAGTAAAATTCCCATGAACAAAATACTTACCAAGAATGCACCTGCCTTTCATTTGCCACTTGGAATTTGCCGCTGCAGTACACTTAGAAAACAGTGCTGCTTTTTCACACAGAAGATATTTCAAAAATCTTTGCTATTTTTTATTTCACTTTCTTCCAGATAAATTGAGGAGGGGAGGGTATACCATATTCTTGTTGACCTGTTAAAAAGAATGGAGGGAACATAGAACCATGGAATAATAAAAGAGAAAGACACATTTTTTTACTTTAAAATGGATTTATTGCAATGTTTTTTTTCTGACTCAAACTTTAATTTTTCTCTTCTAAATTTAAATTTGAGATTACTGTGCAATAAAATTTAAGAAAATATAAGCATAAATTATAGTATTGTAAATAACTTGATATTTAATTCTATAAAACTTAAAAATTAAGTTTCATATCAATATACATTTATATATTTATCTATTACACATTAAAACAGTTATATTAATAGAATAATGTCAAACATAATCTCATCTGTATTATTTTTCAGAGTACTTACGATACTGGCTCAATTTACGAGTCCATCAATCCTCGTCCAGTCAGCCAGATGTCCTCTAGGTCTGCCTACAGTACAGGCTCTTCACTTTACTCTACTTTATACCCTAGAGGAGTACGAGGAAAACTTGGTCCTAGTATGATGACACAGCCTCTGGGACGAGGACCTCCTACTGGTCAGGAAGCTGAGGTTGATCACCTAACAGATCTTCTTGTACAGAGCATGGAAAATTCTGGAGACCCAGAATTTTTTGGTTAGTTTAAAAAGTTAGTTTGAATTACTCACTAATTTATACATTGCATCTTACCATAATTTCACTTAGCATCTAAAATTCCTGCAATGGAAATTGTGTGTATTGTTACGTCTCTGTTCGTTAGTTAATTTTCTGTAAATTCGTTCCGATGAAACTTTAGCGACACAAGTCCTTTCTTAAATAAAACTGGTTTATTCTTTCTGAATATAACTTTGCAATACACTTAATTTCAACAGTCGCGCTATAACAAACGCTATAATTCTCAACGGACGTCTCACGTGCTCGCCTCAACAATACTCAGTTCAATTACACACACAC